CAGGGAACACAGAGTAGGGAACACAGAGCAGGGAACACAGAGCAGGGAACATAGAGCAGGGAACATAGAGCAGGGAACATAGAGGAGGGAACACAGAGGAGGGAACATAGAGCAGGGAACACAGAGGAGGGAACATAGAGTAGGGAACATAGAGCAGGGAACACAGAGGAGGGAACACAGAGTAGGGAACATAGAGCAGGGAACACAGAGGAGGGAACACAGAGGAGGGAACCTAGAGGAGGGAACCTAGAGGAGGGAACATAGAGGAGGGAACATAGAGCAGGGAACATAGAGGAGGGAACACAGAGCAGGGAACATAGAGGAGGGAACATAGAGGAGGGAACATAGAGGAGGGAACATAGAGGAGGGAACATAGGGCAGGGAACATAGAGTAGGGAACATAGAGGAGGGAACATAGAGCAGGGAACATAGAGTAGGGAACATAGAGGAGGGAACACAGAGCAGGGAACATAGAGCAGGGAACATAGAGGAGGGAACACAGAGGAGGGAACATAGAGGAGGGAACATAGAGGAGGGAACATAGAGGAGGGAACACAGAGGAGGGAACACAGAGCAGGGAACACAGAGTAGGGAACACAGAGTAGGGAACACAGAGGAGGAACAGTTGGTAGTAGCTCATTTGCTCCGAGGGTCAACGTTCAGTGACGCGCCTCATACTCGGAGCACATATCTGTTATAGATCTTCCTGTAACCTTGAGGATCACTGTTTACAGCCATAATGACGCTGGAAAGGCACAGAATGGGCTCAAGAAAGGAATAGCTTTATGAAGTATTCATTGTCAGAGACAGAAGTAGATCCCAGTATAAAAAAATATTTCTTGGACTTCTTTGAAAATGGATTATGGACTTTTAATTTTCTAGTTTAGTGTTGTGTTTAAAGATGAAATGTCTACAGTCAAACAATCAAACCAGGGCCATCATTTGAAACAGGGCTCAAACATTATGGACCGTTGAAGTCACCCCATAATTATTATCAGTAATATTACTGACTTGATTGTTACATGACACAGTGATATTTAGGGCATAGGGACCTCAAAACTTCCATTGTGTTGTGTGTGTGGGACTTGTATTGTTCCACAAGACACTCCTGCCTGAGTGAATGAATAATGGCCTGTGAATTATCTTTGGGAGCTGCGCATTAGTACACTTTGTGCCAAACGTATGTGTACTTGTAGCAACATCTTTAAACTAAAAACAGGAATAAGGAAAAAGAATGATATCCTTTTTGCGTGGAATGGATGGATCTGTGCATCGTGAACCCGACTGTGATCATCTGCATCAGTACGGCCTCTTATAGAACCACAGCTCACTGGTGCTGGAATAATAAATATTGGTTTGATAAAGTTTTGGAACCCGTAGTTCAGAGACATGTTATAAATCATTTTAAGGGTCATTTTAAAAAATGATAAATAAACAATTAAGATAACGGCTAGACGTCGCTCAGATGGGGAACCAGAACACCTTGATGAGAAATGGGAAATTGGAACAAGGTGGAATTTGGCTCTGTTGGAACACTACTACTCAAGCAACGCTAGCGTTACATGATGCTGAACGAGGCAGTAACTGACCCTGTGAAGGGTACAGTCTCCTCCAACTACCGGCCATAACCTGTCTCTCCACCACATGGAAGCTCATGGTGGCATCATTGCGGCTAAGATAAGTGGGAACATGGTCGATGACCTTATGAAAAGCTCATAAGACCAAGATACCAGAGGAGCCAAACATCAACTCCTGGTAGACAGAACATTCTCCTACGATTGTGAGTTCAGACACATCAACCCGTGCACAGCCTGGATTGATAAAGCCTTCGACTCTATGCCACACACATGGATCATGGATCAATATCAACAGGACTCTAAGGGTCCATTGGTGAATTGCACAAATGACCATCAAATGTTTTATCTATCAAGGAAATCAACCAGACTGGCAATGAATACTGCCTCAGGACCAGGGCAAGCATCAGTCACCTCCTCTACATGGATGACATCAAGCTGGTGGGCTGTGCATTTCAGACCTGCAGCGGTGTAACATTAGGGAGGAATTGCAAGGTCCCCCTCCCCACGAACAAACAGGCTGCTTTAAAAAAGCAGGAGGAACATAGCTGTAGTTAAATGTCGTTGACTGCGGCGTGACCTGCTCATCACCACAGTCCTTGGAGCCTCCTGCATCAGAAGAACAACTCTAAAATCCCAGTGGGAGAAAAGTGAGAAACCTCAGGGAGGCCAGGTTCAGGGGTACCCTCACCAAGCCATGAAACAGACAATGGGACAGTGGGTGAATAGCAATGAACAATCTACAGCGAAGGCATAATGATGACAGATTCAGTAGAAGAGGACAGTGCTGTCCCCAGACTTCTCCAGCAGGGGGCTCCATATGCAGCGTCACTGACAATCTGTGTTATTTTTAGACATAAGGAAATATCTAATATGTCTTACCTTCCTAACCAAATGCTGAAGTAAAGAGCACTGTTTTAAGTTTGGCCTTGAACATAGAGACTGTGTCTGCTTCCTTCATGTGGATGAGGAGCTGATTTAACAGTAAAGATGCATAGAGCTAAATGCTTTGCCTCCGACTGCACTTTTTGACTCTTTAGGAGCCAGCAGACGTCTGGTGTTTTGCGAGCGCGGTGTTCCTGGTCAGTCCTGGTCTCTCCTGGTTCCTCCTGATCCTTCCTAGTCCCTCCTGGTCCTTCTTGGCCCCACCTGGTCCGTCCTGGTCCCTTCTGGTCTCTCCTTCCCTCCTGGCCCTTTCTAGTCAATCAATCAATCAATCAAATTTTATTTATAAAGCGCTTTTCATACAATAAATGTAACACAAGTGCTTTACAGTTTAGTTAAAAACAATCCAACATGCCCAGCCCTAAACCCTCCTCCCCACAGACCCCCCCAAAACCACATGTATAATTATATATACAACCACATGCGTATACACACACACATACACACACACACACACACACACACACACACACACACACACACATACAAGTATAAATGCACAGCAGGTACAATAGATAAAACAATAAAAATAAATGGGGCTGGGAGTAGATGTAACCGGCTGAAGAAGCGCCATCCAAGGAGCCATCTGCACCAGGAGCAGAGAGCCGGCTGCAGCCACAGGCAACGACACAGGACCCAGAGGAGAGAGGAGGCCCCAGACCCCCACTGGATCCAAGAGCCAGACCCCCGAAGCCACAGCAGACCCCAGCTCCCAGTGCAGAGGGCTCCTCCAGAGGAAACACTGGGGACACTAAAACAATACAATAATACAATAGAAAGTAGAACAATAAAATGAGACACTAAAAATAAAAATGGCAGCTGCCTAATATTGATAATAACAATAGTAAATGGGTAGATACAATAAATAATTAAAAATAGTAAATAATAGTAAATAAATAAAAATAGAATGTGTCTAAAAACATAAATAGATGTACTAAAAAGCAATAATAAATAATAAATACTAATCAAAAGCTACTCTAAAAAGGTGCGTCTTGAGCCTACTCTTAAAAATATGAACGTTCTCTGCGGCCCTGAGCTCCTCCGGCAGACTGTTCCAGAGACGGGGGCCGTAGTGCTGGAAGGATGCCTCACCGTGAGTGTGTGTCCTGACTTTGGGGATGGTTAGGAGTCTGCTGCCGGAGGAGTGCAGGGGCCGGGAAGGTTCATAGGATAAAAGCAGTTCTGAAAGATAAGAAGGCCCAAGACCATTAAGACATTTAAAAACCATTAAAAGAACCTTAAAATCGATCCTGAAACACACGGGGAGCCAATGCAGTGATTTTAAAACCGGCGTAATGTGGTCCCGCCCCCTGGTCTTAGTCAGGACACGTGCGGCCGAGTTTTGGAGTAATTGCAAACCTGAAATGTTCTTTTTGGGAAGACCAGAGAGCAGGGCATTACAGTAGACAATGCGACTGGTGATAAAAGCATGCATCAGCGTCTCCGTGTTGCCCCGAGAGAGAATGGGGCGGACTCTGGCGATGTTCTTTAGATGATAAAAACCTATTTTTGTGATGTTCTTGATGTGAGGAATAAAAGTCAGCTCAGCGTCAAAGATTACGCCCAGATTTCTCACTTGTGATGATGGATTAAAATAGTGTGAATGGAGTTTTGATAAAAGTTTCTCTCTCTGGGCCTCAGGACCGATGACTAAAACCTCAGTTTTGTCCTGGTTAAGCTGGAGAAAGTTTTCTGCCATCCAGGATTTCAGGTCTAAAATGCAGTTAAAAAGAGCATCCATTGGCCTGGTGTCGTCAGGAGACATGGAGATGTACAGCTGTGTATCATCAGAGACATGGAGATGTACAGCTGTATCATCAGAGACATGGAGATGTACAGCTGTGTATCATCTGCATAACTGTGGAAGTCAATTCCATGTCTCCTGATGACACCGCCAAGAGGGAGCATGTACAGGTTAAAAAGGACTGGACCTAAAATGGAACCCTGGGGCACACCACATGTGATTTTATGGACCTGAGAGGAGCAGGTATCCAAACTTACCATGAAGGATCTGTCTGTTAAATAAGAAGTGAACCATTTGTGGACAGCACCAGAGAGGCCGAGGTGTTGTAGGCGTGATAAAAGAATGGTGTGGTCTACTGTGTCGAAGGCAGCGCTAAGATCCAGTAGAACCAACACGGTCACCTTTTTAGAATCATAATTTAGTCTAAAATCATTTAAAATCTTTAAAAGAGCAGTCTCTGTGCTGTGGTTCACCCTAAAACCTGATTGAAATGTATCTCAAATTTGCTGCTGATCTAAAAAGGCATTGAGCTGGGTTTTCTAAAATGTTGCTTAAAAATGGTAAGTTGGATACTGGTCTGTAGTTGTTAAAATCATTAAAATCTAAATTGCTCTTCTTCAGAAGGGGTCTTACCACAGCCGCTTTGAAGGCTGCAGGAAAGACCCCAGTCTGAAGAGAGCAATTCACCAGGTTTAAAAGCTCCTCTCTAAAAGATTCATAGTCCCTCCTGGTCTCTCCTAGCTCCCTCCTGGTCCTTTCTGGTCCTTCCTGGTCCCTCCTGGTTCCTCGTGGTCTCTCCTGGCTCCCTCTGGGTCCCTCCTGTCTCCCTCCTGGTCCATCCCGGTCCCTCCTGGCCCATCCTGGTCCCTCCTGGCTCCCTCCTGGCTCCCTCCTAGTCCCTCCTGGCTCCCTCCTGGTCCCTCCCTCCTGGTCCCTCCTGCTCCCTCCTGGTCCATCCTGGTCCCTTCTGGTCTCTCCTGATCCCTCCTGCTCTCTTCTGGTCCCTCCTGTTCTCTCCTTATCCTCCCTGGTCCCTCCTGGCCCATCCTGGTCTCTCCTGCTCTCTCCTGGTCCCTCCTGGTCCCTTCCCTGTCTGCTCACACCTGTAGCTTGTCCTTGAAGGTGAATCACTAACTGAGTGTGTTTTCTGAGGATGTTTAACTATTGTTCCGTTCTGCACTCACACACTGACCTCTGACCCTTGGACCCCCCCCCCCCTCCCCCCATCAAAGCCTTCCCCCCCACCCCCCCTCAGAGCTCCCCCTAGGCTTTAACTGAGGCCAACGTCAACAAACAACCAAAGCAAAGTCTCCAGCCGGACACATCTGCGTCGTCACGGTGAGTTTGCAGCGTCTTATTGAGCTCCGAGATTTTCAGGTTTTATAACAATTTACTCTGAAATATTTGTATATATATATTTATAATTAGTATAGTAGTATAATCAGTATAATTGTGTAATGAATTAGGTAAAACAATCATGGAAGCAGTAAAAAAGTAACTGAATGTATTTCTATAGATTTAAAAAACAACTTGATTTTAGGTTTATTTTAGTATTTTTTTGTCTCGTTTACTTTTATTATTATTTCACTTTTTTACATTTAAAGATACTTTCACATTTCAAAACATTCATTATTTGAAAGAAAAATGTGTGTTGGACTGTACAAAGAGTACTGTTCCACTGTCAGACTGTAGTAAGAGTACTGTTACACTGTCAGACTGTGATAAGAGTACTGTTACTGTCATACAGTAGTAAGAGTACTGTTACTGTCAGACTGTAGTAAGAGTACTGTTACTGTCAGACTGTAGTAAGAATACTGTTACACTGTCAGACTGTAGTAAGAGTACTGTTACACTGTCAGACTGTGATAAGAGTACTGTTACTGTCATACAGTAGTAAGAGTACTGTTACTGTCAGACTGTAGTAAGAGTACTGTTACTGTCAGACTGTAGTAAGAATACTGTTACACTGTCAGACTGTAGTAAGAATACTGTTACACTGTCAGACTGTAGTAAGAGTACTGTTACACTGTCATACTGTAGTAAGAGTACTGTTACACTGTCATACTGTAGTAAGAGTACTGTTACTGTCAGACTGTAGTAAGAGTACTGTTACACTGTCAGACTGTGATAAGAGTACTGTTACTGTCATACAATAGTAAGAGTACTGTTACTGTCAGACTGTAGTAAGAGTACTGTTACTGTCAGACTGTAGTAAGAATACTGTTACACTGTCAGACTGTAGTAAGAGTACTGTTACACTGTCAGACTGTAGTAAGAATACTGTTACACTGTCAGACTGTAGTAAGAGTACTGTTACACTGTCATACTGTAGTAAGAGTACTGTTACACTGTCATACTGTAGTAAGAGTACTGTTACTGTCAGACTGTAGTAAGAGTACTGTTACACTGTCAGACTGTGATAAGAGTACTGTTACTGTCATACAGTAGTAAGAGTACTGTTACTGTCAGACTGTAGTAAGAGTACTGTTACTGTCAAACTGTAGTAAGAATACTGTTACACTGTCAGACTGTAGTAAGAGTACTGTTACACTGTCAGACTGTAGTAAGAATACTGTTACACTGTCAGACTGTAGTAAGAGTACTGTTACACTGTCATACTGTAGTAAGAGTACTGTTACTGTCAGACTGTAGTAAGAATACTGTTACACTGTCAGACTGTAGTAACAGTACTGTTACACTGTCAGACTGTAGTAAGAGTACTGTTACTGTCATACTGTAGTAAGAGTACTGTTACACTGTCATACTGTAGTAAGAGTACTGTTACTGTCAGACTGTAGTAAGAGTACTGTTACTGTCAGACTGTAGTAAGAGTACTGTTACTGTCATACTGTAGTAAGAGTACTGTTACACTGTCATACTGTAGTAAGAGTACTGTTACACTGTCATACTGTAGTAAGAATACTCAGAATCAGAATCATTTTTATTGCCACGTAAGTAACAGGAGGTCACAGACATGGAAATTGCTTTGGCTCAGTGCAACAGTCAAAAAGAGATAATAAAAATAAGAATAAAAAACACTTCTAAAGAATAAATTTAAATTTAAAATAGAGTTACAGTTACTATTTACAATATACAAGTGGACATGGTGCACACAATGTAAGGTGACAGCAGTACAGTGAAGTAAAGTGACGTATGATGGGCAGTAAAGTGACTTTATAAAGGGCGGGGGGACAGGTTAAGAAGTGTTCAAGAGTCCAACAGCAGAGGGGAAGAAACTGTTCTTGTGGCGGGGGTTCTAGTCCTGATGGACCGCAGTCTCCTGCCTGAGGGGAGTGGTTGGAATAGTCCATGTGCAGGGTGAGAGGGGTCGGCTGTGATACGACCAGCCCGGCCTCGAGCTCGGGCGACGTACAGGTCCTGCAGCGATGGAAGGCTGCGGCCGATCACTTCCTCTGCAGAGAGCACAATGCGCTGTAGTCTCTGTTTGTCCCTGACTGTGGCTCCAGCGAACCACACGGTGATGGAGGAGGTGAGGATGGACTCGATGATGGCCGTGTAGAACTGCACCAACATCTGTGCAGGCAGCTTGGCTTTCCTGAGCTGCCGCAGGAAGTACATCCTCTGCTGGGCCTTCTTGATGAGGGAGCTGATGGTTGGCTCCCACTTGAGGTCCTGGGTGATGGTGGTGCCCAGGAAACGGAAGGACTCCACAGAGGTGATGGGGGAGTCCATCACGGAGGGTGGGGGCGGGGGGACAGTGCTCTTCCTGAAGTCCACAATCATCTCCACTGTCTTCTGGGCGTTCAGCTCCAGGTTGTTACCACTGCACCAGGACACCAGCCGGTCCACCTCCCTCCTGTAGGCGGACTCATCGTTGTTGGAGATGAGTCCAATGAGGGTGGTGTCGTCCGCGAACTTGATCAGCTTCACAGAGTCGTGGCTGGAGGTGCAGTGGTTGGTGTACAGGGAGAAGAGCAGGGGAGAAAGAACACAGCCCTGTGGGGCTCCTGTATTTAAAATCCGAGAGTCCGAGACATTCTTCCCCAGACGCACTCGCTGCTTCCTGTCCGTCAGGAAGTCAGTGGTCCACCTGCAGGTGGAATCGGGCACGTTGAGCTGGGAGAGCTTGTCCTGGAGCAGGGATGGCAGGATTGTGTTGAAGGCAGAGCTGAAGTCCACGAACAGGACCCTGGCGTAGGTCCCCGGGGAGTCCAGGTGCTGTAGGATGTGGTGGAGGGCCAGGTTAATGGCGTCGTCTACAGATCTGTTGGCTCTGTAGGCGAACTGCAGGGGGTCCAGGAGGGGGGAGGTGAGGGACTTGAGATGGGAGAGAACCAGGCGTTCAAATGACTTCATGACGACAGACGTAAGTGCTACAGGTCTGTAGTCATTGAGTCCTGTGATCCTGGGCTTCTTCGGGACGGGGACAATGATGGAGGATTTGAAGCAGGCCGGGACATGGCAGGACTGCAGAGAGGTGTTGAAAATGTCCGTGAACACAGGAGTAAGCTCACTGGCGCAGTGTCTCGGAGTGGCCGGAGACACGTGGTCCGGGCCAGGAGCTTTGCGGGGGTGCAGCCTCAGGAAGAGTTGTTTAATCTCTTTAGAGGCTATTGTTAGGCTGGGGGCAGGGCTGATGGGTGGGTCGTTAGAGTAGTGGGGGGTGGGGGAGGGAGAGGTGTCAGGGGCAGCATCAAAGCGACTGAAAAATAAGTTCAGATCGTCAGCTAGCTTGTGGTCGTCAGCACAGGGGGGGGCTTTGGGTTTGTAGTTGGTGATCTCCCGTAAGCCCCTCCAGACAGAAGCAGTATCCTTGTTACCAAACTGCTCCTGTAGTCGTTCTCTGTGCCGGGACTTGGCTGCTTTCAGTTCTCTCCTGAACTGATATTAAGCTGCTTTGTAGCCGCTGCGGTCCCCCTCCCTGAAAGCAGACTCCTTTGCTTTCCTGAGCTGCCGGAGTTTAGCAGTGAACCAGGGTTTGTCGTTGTTATAGATGACCCTGGTCCTTGTTGGAATGATGCTATCCTCACAGAAGTGAATGTATGACGTCACAGTGTCCGTATATTCATCCAAACTATCTGTGGCAGCTCTGAAAAGGTCCCAGTCTGTAGATTCCATGCATGCGCGCAGCTCTTCCACAGCTTCATCAGACCACACTTTGGAGCTCCTCACTGCAGGTTTCGAGAGCTTTAGTCTCTGTCTGTAAGCAAGAACCAGATGTATCATGGAGTGATCTGAGAAGCCGAGGGCTGGCTTGGGAACAGCGCGAAAAGCTCCGCGCACGGTGGTGTAACAGTGATCCAGAGTGTTCTCTCTGGTCGGGCATTTGATAAACTGTCTGTATTTGGGTAATTCCTGGCTCAAGTTTCCCTTATTAAAATCCCCCAGGATAATAATCAGAGAGTCCGGGTATAAGCGTTCCATAGTACTTGCTCTGCGTCCGCGCATGGCGGTATGTAAACAGAGGCAAGAATGAATGAAACAATTTCACGCGGGGAGTAAAATGGTTTACAATGGATGAAAAGATATTCCAGAGCAGGAGAGCAGTGCTTGGAGATCACTGTCACATTGTTACACCAGTTTGTATTGACGTAGAAACACAGCCCTCCGCCTCTGCTCTTCCCTGAGAGCGCACAATGGCAATCCGCGCGGAACAGCCCAAAGCCCTGCAGCTCCAGAGCGCAGTCCGGGATCCGCTCATTTAGCCAGGTCTCAGTGAAGCAGAGGACACAGGATGTGGCGAAGTCCTTGTTTCTTCTCATGAGCAGGCTGAGTTCGTCCATCTTATTGCCCAGTGAGCGTACGTTGGACAGAAAAATGCCGGGGAGAGGCTCCTCTCCTCCTGAGACGCACGAGCAGTCCTCCGCGCTTTCCCCTTTTACGGGCCCACACTTTTTTGGCTAGAACATGGACTAAATCAGCCGCAGATGCCAAGAAAACAGGCAATAGGTCCGTGGGAACGGTGGGTCGGATGTTCATAAGTTCCTCACGGGTGTAGGAACAGCCAGATGCGCAGTTAAAAAGTAAAAACAAAAGAAAAAGAGAGCAGCAAAGAGCCATGTCGACCGTACGAGGCGCCATCTTAAAATTATTATTAAAATTAGACTGTAGTAAGAGTACTGTTACTGTCATACTGTAGTAAGAGTACTGTTACTGTCAGACTGTAGTAAGAGTACTGTTACTGTCAGACTGTAGTAAGAGTACTGTTACACTGTCAGACTGTAGTAAGAGTACTGTTACTGTCAGACTGTAGTAAGAGTACTGTTACTGTCAGACTGTAGTAAGAGTACTGTTACACTGTCAGACTGTAGTAAGAATACTGTTACTGTCAGACTGTAGAGAGACTACTCTGACACTGTCAGACTGTAGTAAGAGTACTGTTACACTGTCAGACTGTAGTAAGAGTACTGTTACTGTCAGACTGTAGTAAGAGTACTGTTACTGTCAGACTGTAGTAAGAGTACTGTTACACTGTCAGACTGTAGTAAGAATACTGTTACTGTCAGACTGTAGAGAGACTACTCTGACACTGTCAGACTGTAGTAAGAGTACTGTTGCTGTCAGACTGCAGTAGGAGTACAGTTACTGTCTGACTGTAGTAAGAGTACTGTGACACTGTCAGACTGTAGTAAGAGTACTGTGACACTTTCAGACTGTAGTAAGAGTACTGTGACAATGTCAGACTGTAGTAAGAGTACTGTGACACTGTCAGACTGTAGAGTGAGTACTGTTACTCTGAAACTAAATAATGTGAGTAAATATTCTGGCGCAGCATTCCAGTTCTAATCCAGTAAAACCTCTTACAGTCGGGATCAGCAGCAGCAGAGGGAGGGCCTTCTCAAACTGTTACAGAACAATTTTTCCAAAAGTGACTTTCTTGGACTTGGTTTAGAACCCGTCCCTCTGACATCACTCTCTTGGTTCCAGTCCCAAACCTGGAGAAAGTGGCCTGAAGGCTCTCTGCTGACATGGGCTTCGCAGATCTGCTGGAGGAGGTGAGAGACACTGAACGACAGAAACAATCGATCATTTACAGTTCTTTACAAACTCCTGTTGCCACGGTGAACATGTGAAGCATGCTTTAGGTCAGACATGTCAAACTCAGGCCCGTGGGCCAACTCCGACCCACAAGACCATTTTCAGAGGCCCCTGAAATTATTTCTGATTGTTAAAAGAAGTTGCAGCATTGATGGTAATAGGCCACAATGGTGTTTTATACCTCATTTTAAATCTAATTATTCCATATACATTTACAATATATAATTAGAAGTTATATTGTTAAATATATTTCAAAATAATCTTCTTTTAAAAGTCTTCAATTACATTTCTTCTTAAAGTGATTGTCTGGAGTTTGTCAGAAAAAAAGACATTTAAATGTTAATGAGAGAACACATTATACATATACATTATTATTACACATGCACGGAGGTTTTCAGAATTATTTGTTAATGTTTTAATGAAAAAAAAAACGATTGCGGTAAACCCGGAAGTAGCTATTATCATTAATTGAACATTATAGGACACATCTGCAGAGGATCTGATTATGGATATAGGTTCAGTATATAAATGATTATGGATATAGGTTCAGTATATAAATGATTATGGATATAGGTTCAGTATATAAATGATTATGGATATAGGTTTAGTTTATAAATGATTATGGATATAGGTTCAGTATATAAATGATTATGGATATAGGTTCAGTATATAAATGATTATGGATATAGGTTCAGTATATAAATGATTATGGATATAGGTTCAGTATATAAATGATTATGGATATAGGTTCAGTATATACTGTATAATTCATTTAGAGTTCCAGACTATCACTTTAATATTTGTTTTGGTTTAATCCACAGTGACTGAACTAATTTTGTTCAGAAAAATCTATCAGAAACAATTATCTAACTAATGTGAAACAAGTCATTTGTCAAAATACTTTAAGAAGTACATTTTTTTATTGTATTAACACTTTTATACTTACATATTTTATTCGGCCCTCAACCAAAATGAGTTTGACACAATTGCTTTTGGTAAAAGGGCACGACACTCACACTAAATAAAAATGTGAGTCATGACCCTTTTTTATGTTGCAACATTTTTCCTCTTTTAAAATGTAGTTGTTTTTAGCTCCATACACTCTGTAATGTCAACTTGTGGACGTTCTTTTGACTTTGCAATCGGATTTGACACACTAAAGAATTTTGACATTTCAACTGTGTTTTATATACGTCATCTATCATGTGGGTAAAAATGGAGGATGGAAGAAAATGCACTACACATTCTGACACTTATTTCAACAGTAGTTATCTTGGAGGACTTCACAAAGCTGTCGATTCGCCAACACAGATCTGAGAATCAAACCGTTCAAACACAGGAAATGCAATGATTGAAACACATAGAGCCATTAGTCCATGAAAGGAACAGAGACCAATGTCCATAAATGTTAATAAATGTCCATAAATGTGGTCATAAGCGAGTGTCCTGGATCATCCCCATTATCCTTAGGCCCTCTGCATCGGCAAGAAACAACTTAGAATCCCCAGGGCTCTTAGCTTATCCGTTTCCATGTCAAAAAGATCCTCATCAAGGCAAATTCAATGGTTTTGTAAATTCCTCTGTGATCATTACTGTTGTGGTTTAGGGCTGTACAAAAATAATAGAATTGTTATCTTGGAGCAGAGCAGACTTTGTGAGGTCCCTGTGTGGTGCAGGTGGGGGGCTTCGGCCGGTACCAGTGGATCCATGTGACCCTCATCAGTCTGCCAGGGTTATTCATGGCCAGTCAGAACCTCATCAACAACTTTGTGTCCGGTGTCCCAGAGCACCACTGCAGCCTGCCCCTCAACTCCAGCCTGGGCAACTCCTCACAGGTACCTCATACTGTCCCAGAAGTGTCCCAGGCTGCCCAAGACTGTCCCAGACTGTCTTGCACTTTCCCAGATGTCCCACACGGCCCCAGACAGTCCCACGCTGCCTCGTACTGCCCCAGATTGTCCCACTCTGCCTCACACTGCCCCAGACTGTCCGAGAAGTGTCCCAGGCTGCCCAAGACTGTCTCACACTTCCCCAGACTGCCTCATACTGCCCCAGACTGCCCCATGCTGCCTCACACTGCCTCACACTGCCTCATACTCACTCACACTGCCCCAGACTGTTCCAGACTGACCAAGTGTCCGACCTCACAATACACTGGGTTTACTGTAAATAGCACTTTTTCTGACGCTCAAAGACGCTTCGCATCGTTATTCATTCACTCCAAACACGTTGGTGATAAACTACTGTAGCCACAGCTGCCCTGGGGCACATTGACAGAAGCGAGGCATCTAGTCTGTGCCATCAGCCCCTCCCACAACCACCATTCATTTACACACACCAGACTCATTCTAATGTGGGTGAAGTGTCTTGCTTCAGCCACAGTTCGGCACTTTACAGCCGCAACCGCCCCACTGTGGCACCTGGTGTTCCCAGAGGTCTCCCATCACAGTACTAACCAGGCCCTGCCCTGCTTCGTTTCAGAGATGGCCACAATAATGCTGTTTTCACACACAACACCCACAAACAATCTGGAACATTCTCGACCAGATCGTTTCTGTGACTCCGCTCGCATGAGAGACTTGTGAATCTAATCTCGCTCTTTGTCGTTGCAGTTGTTCCCTGAGAGCTGGTTGAAGGCCTTCATCCCCCCAGACACCTCTGGGCTCCGACTGGACCGCTGCAGGAGGTACGCCTCACTCTCTGTCGCACACTTTAGTGCCACAAACTCTGCTCGTTTGGGTCCGGCTCTAACTGTGGCTCTAACTCCGCTCTGATCAGCAGCTCTGATCGGTCAGAACGCTGCCCCTCTGTGCACTTGCATGAGGGCTAAACACTCGTATTTTGTGCATTGCATCATGGGAGCTCGTCCACTGCGCAAAACTGGGAGGAGCAGACGATGCCCAAATATGGGCGAGTTCAGTTACTGAGCACAAGCCACTGATTTGAACAGAACGCCATCTTGGATCACCGGGATTTGGTTTACCCCCTGGTCTGGCCCTCATTTGGGGTGTGTGTGTGTTTACCCCCTGTGTTTACCCCCTCTGTGGCAGATATGTGTCCCCACAGTGGCACCTGCTCTCGGCCAACTCGTCCCTGAACTCCAGCGGTCTGCAGACGGAGGGCTGTGAGGAGGGCTGGACTTACGAGCGCACAGAGTTCATCGCCACCACTGTGTCCGAGGTGAGCCCCACGTGCAGCTCCCTGAGAGGAGACTGTTCCAGATCCACACAACTGTGAGGCTCAAAGCAGCTGTGGCCTGTTGCAGTTCGGCCTGGTGTGCTCCTGGAAGCCTCTGAAGCAGATGATCCAGACCATCTACATGGGAGGTGTCCTCACAGGAGCCATCGTCTTCGGAGGACTCTCAGACAAGTAGGTATAGAAACAAGTACACAAGAGATGGATGATCCATCCATCCATACAAACAAATAAATACATAATTCTTTAGGTCACAGCAGCAGAGGTGGTGTAGCCTCTGGTGATGAGCTGCTTCCTCTGGTTGATGTCTGCAGAGTCTGCTTGGTTCAGATCATGTTCTCTGCACCGGTTCAGATCATGTTCTCTGCTCTGGTTCAGAGTGAAATTCTGAATGCTTTATTAGAATTTTTTTAAGTAAAGTTAGCATTACTCCTGTGGATTTGCGCTTGATCTGTTTGGCAGGGCTAAACTTCAACTGCCCCCAGACTCGGTAAACGAACCTTCGTGGTTGTGTTGTGTCTTCCAGATTTGGCCGGCGGTCAATCCTCATATGGTCGTACCTTCAGCTGGCTGTGTTGGGCTGCACCTCGGCCTTGTCCCCGACCTACTCCACATACTGCATGTTCCGCTTCCTCAGTGGGATGGCTGTGTCTGGGATCATCCTCAACGGAGTGTCCCTGAGTAAGGAGTCACTGAACAACCACTGGGCAAAGTCCCAAATACTGTTTGCACGATAAATGCAGTATCTCTCGCTACACTTGCAAGCAAAAGCCAGATCCCGTCAGACCCCTGAAGCTGGGCAGGGCCGGGCCTGGTTAGTACTGTAATGGGAGACCTCTGGGAACACCCAGTGGGGGTGGGCCAAAATGACGTGCGCTGACATGCTTGCAATACCACCCTGGGCCGATGGGGGTGGACCCGAAAAAAACATTATTCAATGCTAACATATAGCATTAGGTGACCTCTCAAAAACGTCTTTACAGGATGGTCCAAAAGTTGGCTCTTGGCCCAAAGCTCCGTTCCACATGTGTGTCAATGCTGAGGGGGGTGAATTTTTTTGGATCACTCTAGTTTAGTCGCTGTGAAATTTTGAAGTCACTCGTTAAATGAATGGGGCGAGTGCCGGCTGACGCATGCGCAGATGCGTTTTTTTTTACATTTTCCGGCCCCTAATTTGTTATTTGTGTTAATTGTGTAACGCCCTAAATCACAATAGTAGTTATCTCGGTGGACTTTACACAGCTGTCGATTGATTCACCAACACAGATCAGAGAATCAAACAGTTCAAACAAACACAGGGAATCCAGTAACAGCAAACATAGACCAATGTCCACAAATGTTTTTGGATGTTGAGTGTCCTGGATCAACATATCAAACATGTCTTTTTTATCTGGAACATTTCCAATGGCCCTGAAAAAGGCAGTCATTAGGCCCCTCCTAAAAAAGAGCAGTTTGGATGCTGCGGTACTTGAAAATTACCGTCCCATCTCAAATCTGCCTTTCATGGGAAAAATTCTTGAAAAAGTTGCCTACCAACAACTTACTGAATTTTTAATATCTAATGACTCATTTGACATGTTTCAGTCTGGCTTTAGACCACACCACAGTACTGAGACCGCTCTAGTCAAGGTAACAAATGATATTCGGCTTAACACTGATGCAGGAAAAGTCTCTGTTTTAGTCATGTTAGATCTGAGTGCCGCTTTCGACACCGTTGACCATGAGATTCTCATGCAGAGACTGGAGGACTGGGTTGGTGTTGCTGGTACCGCCCTAAGCTGGTTTAGGTCCTATCTAGAAGAAAGGAAGTATTGTGTGGAGATTGGAAACTATGTCTCAGATAATATGGCCCTGACCTGCGGAGTGCCACAGGGGTCAATTCTGGGACCTCTCCTGTTCAATATTTACATGCTGCCATTAGGTCAGTTAATTCAAAGTATGAAAGTGTCCTACCACAATTACGCTGATGACACTCAGATCTATGTCTCACTGACTGCAGGAGAGCATGGGCCGGTGGACTCACTCCTTCGCTGTATCCAGCGGATCAGTGAGTGGATGCAATGCAATTTTCTCCAGCTAAATGCGGACAAAACCGAAATGATTGTCTTTGGTCCCGAGAAACAAAGAGAGACCGTCATTTGTCACCTTCAGTCTCTCTCCCTAAGGCCCTTAAATAAGGTCAGAAATCTGGGAGTAATAATGGACTCTGACTTAAACTTCAATAGCCACATTGGATCGCTAACATCAGCAGCTTTTTATCATCTGAAAAATATTGCCAAAATTAAAAATATTGTGTCCAGGGCAGACTTGGAGATTCTTATCCATTCTTTTGTTTCCAGTAGGCTGGATTACTGCAATGGCCTGCTCACAGGTATCTCCAAACATGCAGTAAGACAGTTGCAGTATATTCAAAATGCTGCAGCCCGAGTCCTGACTAGAACCAGGAAGTACGACCACATTAGTCCGGTCCTCAGGTCTCTGCACTGGCTTCCCGTGGCCCAGAGAATAGACTTTAAAGCAGCTCTCCTGGTGTACAAGTCTCTCCATGGCCTTGCACCAAAGTACATCCATGATATGCTAGTCCCATATGAACCAGCCCGGACTCTGAGGAGCGCAGGGACGGGACTCCTGTTAGTGCCCAGAGTCAGGACTAGACAGGGGGAGGCTGCTTTTCAGATTTATGCAGCTGGAGTCTGGAACGGTCTTCCTGAGGATGTGAGACTGGCTGCCTCTCTGTCAATGTTCAAATCCATGTTAAAGACTTTTCTTTTTTCCCGTGCATACAACTAGAGAATTTTATCTTTTTAACACACCTTGTTATTTATTGTTGTAACTTTTTGTGTTTTTAACTATTTTATTGTTTTTAATTACTTGTGTGATTTTTATGTTTTTAAATTACTTATGTGATTTTAATGCTTTTTAATTACATATGTGTTTTTAATTGTATTTTAATGGTGATGATTTGTGCATTGTGTGGTGTGGACTGTGAGGCGCTTTGTGTTGCCCTGTGCAGGAAAAGCGCCCTATAAATAAAGATTGATTGATTGATTGATTGATCATCCCCACTGTTCTTAGACCGTCCTGCATCGGCAAAGAACAGCACTACAAACTTTGATAGAATCCAAAGGGCCAACCAGGAGCGAGTCTGGCCCTTCCCACTCCTGCTATCTGCGAGCCAAAGTTGAATTCTGAGAGATAAGGCACTTGATTGTTTTTTTTTATCTTACAAAGAAACCCAACTCTTGAGGACAGAGGTGATCCAGGACACTATTAATCTTTATTAACATTGGTCTCTTCCTCTTATGGATTTATATCATTGCATTTCCTGAGTTTGAGCTGTTTGATTCGCTGATCTGTGTTGGTAAATCGACAGCTTTGTAAAGTCCTCCGAGATATCTACTGTTGTGAATTAACGGCGATACAAGAATCCATTGAAATGAATTGAATATTTGAGAACCAGTCTGACTCAAGGGTACAGGGTAAAGTGAATGATGAAGCTAAAGGCAGGAGCAAAGGCTAGCTCTTCATCCTTATAGACAGCTAGCTTGGGCTTCCATCGCTCTGTAACCACGTGTCTGTTGTCCGGTCAGAGGTGGAGTGGATCCCTACGAAGCAGCGCACCGTTGTGGGAACCTTGTCGTCCTTCACCTTCACCTTCGGGCAGCTGGTCCTGGTGGGGCTGGCCTACTGGCTCAGGGACTGGAGGAAGCTGCAGGTGGCCGTCTGCCTGCCTCACTTCCTCTTCTTTGCCTACAGCTGGTGAGTCGGTGTGTTGTCTTCTGTGGCCTGTCTGTGGTGCTGCAGTATATCCAAAACTCTGCAGCTCGAGTCCTGACTAGAACCAGGAAGTACCATCAGAGAAGTCCTGGTCTCAGATCTCTGCTTCCCGTGGCTCAGACAAGTCTCTCCTTGGCCCCGCACCAAAGTACATCTGTGACATGTTAGTGCCATTTGAACCAACTCTGAGGAACACAGGCAATGATCTCCTGTTGGGACTCCGAGGAGCACAGGGACTGGTCTCCTGCTGGGACTCTGAGGAGCACAGGGACTGGCCTCCTGCTAGGACTCTGAGGAGCACAGGAACTGGCCTCCTGCTGGGACTCTGAGGAGCACAGGGACTGGCCTCCTGCTGGGACTCTGAGGAGCACAAGGACTGGTCTCCTGTTGGGACTCTGAGGAACACAGGGACTGGTCTCCTGTTGGGACTCTGAGGAACACAGGAACTGGCCTCCTGCTGGGACTCTGAGGAACACAGGGACTGGTCTCCTGTTGTGACTCTGAGGAGCACAGGGACTGGTCTCCTGCTGGGACTCTGAGGAGCACAGGGACTGGTCTCCTGCTGGGACTCTGAGGAGCACAGGGACTGGTCTCCTGTTGTGACTCTGAGGATCTCAGGAACTGGCCTCCTCCTGGTTCCCAGAGTCAGGACTAAACATGGGGAGGCAGCATTTCAGATTCATGCAGCAAAAATCTTGAACAGTCTTCCTGAAAATGTGAGACAGGATTCTACTCTGACAATGTTCAAATCCAGGTTAAAACAGTTCTGCTTAGCTGTCCCACAACTCAAGGGTTTTATTTTTGCTCTTTGTACTGTACTGTGACTATGTTGTTTTGTTAAGTCCTTGTGTATGAGCTGTGCTATATAAATAAACGTGCGTTGTGGGATGGCGTGTCTGTGGCGCTGATGGGATGTTGTGTGTGGTGCAGGTGGTACAGTGAGTCGGCTCGATGGCTCATGCTTTCCAACCGCTCTGAAGACGCTCTGAAGATCCTGCAGCGTGTGGCCAGGGTCAACGGCAAGAAGGAGGTCGCCGACAATCTCACCGTGGAGGTAGAGACACCAGAGAGACCAGAGAGTCCAGAGAGTCCAGAGAGTCCAGAGAGTCCAGAGAGATCAGAGACACCAGAGAGACCAGAGAGACCAGAGAGACCAGAGAGATCAGAGAGACCAGAGACACCAGAGAGACCAGAGAGATCAGAGAGACCAGAGACACCAGAGACACCAGAGACACCAGAGAGACCAGAGACACCAGAGAGACCAGAGATATCAGAGAGATCAGAGACACCAGAGACACCAGAGAGGCCAGAGAGACCAGAGACACCAGAGAGACCAGAGATATCAGAGAGATCAGAGACACCAGAGACACCAGAGAGGCCAGAGAGACCAGAGACACCAGAGAGACCAGAGAGGCCAGAGAGATCAGAGACACCAGAGAGACCAGAGAGGCCAGAGAGACCAGAGAGGCCAGAGAGACCAGAGATATCAGAGACACCAGAGAGACCAGAGACACATAGACACCATAGACACCAGAGAGACCAGAGACATCAGAGACACCAGAGAGACCAGAGAGACCAGAGACATCAGAGGCATCAGAGAGACCAGAGAGACCAGAGACACCAGAGAGACCAGAGACACCACAGACACCACAGACATCGGGGACACCACAGAGACTAGAGAGACCACAGACACCAGCTACACCAGATAGACCACAGACATCAGACACCAGAGACATCAGAGACGTCAGCGAGACCAGAGACATCAGAGAGACCAGAGAGACCAGAGACATCAGAGGCATCAGAGAGACCAGAGAGACCAGAGACACCAGAGAGACCAGAGACACCATAGACACCATAGACACCAGAGAGACCAGAGACATCAGAGACACCAGAGAGACCAGAGAGACCAGAGACATCAGAGGCATCAGAGAGACCAGAGACACCAGAGAGACCAGAGACACCACAGACACCACAGACATCGGGGACACCACAGAGACCATAGAGACCACAGACACCAGCTACACCAGATAGACAAGAGACACCACAGACATCAGACACCAGAGACATCAGAGACGTCAGAGAGACCAGAGACATCAGAGAGACCACAGACACCAGAGAGACCACAGACACCACAGACAGCAGCTACACCAGATAGACCAGAGACACCACAGACATCCGAGACACCAGAGACACCAGAGACACCACAGACATCACAGACACACACACGCCCATTATCCAACACAGATCACTTGTATCTACTCCTACATAAATTGCGGTGGCAGTAGCTCAGTGATTGCATGAAGCTGAAGAAAAGCTGCCTGTGCTCAGGTCCTGGAGAAGCACATGAAGAAGGAGATCGAGGCGAGGAAGTCCACGTACACAGCTGTGGACCTGGTCCGGACCAGAGTTGTCCGCCGCATCTCTATGTGTCTGGTGGTCGTCTGGTGAGACACCTGTTTTTACAAACTTCAACGGATGAATTTGTGTTAAACAGGATTTCTCCAATAGAAAATGTATCTCTTCTTTGAATCTTGTTACTTGTAGAAATAAGACCAACCTCTATTTGTCCCTCTAATGTCAGTCTTATAGCACAAACGTTCATGTAAGTTAGATAGATCTATAGTTGTTTCCAAAAACATTCTTTAGTCATGCTCTTTGAAGCTTTGGGCTGAGTGAGTGCAGTCGTCTGAAATCTGAACAAGGTGTTCTAAAAATGGCCTAAAATGCATGTGTAAAATTGGTGAAACTAGTGAAAACTGTTTTAGAGAGAGGCTCTAATTACATAGTGACATGGTGTTTTTAGGTTGCTTAGATGCTTTTGACCAGGTCTAAACCGAAACCAAACCAGTTGACAGCTTGATCTACAGTAAATTCAACGTATTTGTGTATAGCCCTATTTCACAACAGTAATGTTCAAAATGACTTTACAAAATTGTCCATTTGCCAAACACAGATCAAAGATTACAGTAGAAGACATTAAATGCAGAATGAAAACAAACCCATAGGTCCATTGGTCCATAGGGAGCCACCACTGTCCACAATAGATAATAAATGTGCATAAATGTCCTGGATCATCACTGTCCTCTGGCCTTGTGTGTGTAGATGTTAACCATGTGTGTGTAGATGTTTACCATGTGTGTGTAGATGTTTACCATGTGTGTGTAGATGTTAACCATGTGTGTGTAGATGTTAACCATGTGTGTGTAGATGTTTACCATGTGTGTGTAGATGTTTACCATGAGTGTGTAGATGTTTACCATGTGTGTGTAGATGTTTACCATGTGTGTGTAGATGTTTACCATGTATGTGTAGATGTTAACCATGTGTGTGTATAACCATGTGTGTGTAGATGTTTACCATGTGTGTGTAGATGTTTACCATGTTTGTGTAGCCTGCTTCTCTGAACGCTTGTGTCTCGCAGGTTCGCCACCTCCTTTGCCTACTACGGCATCGCCATGAACCTGCAGAAGTTTGGGGTGAGACCAAGCCCCGGCGATTCAAGATGGCGCCCTATTCAAATGAATGGTTGTGCTCAGTGGCGCTTTGTGACGGCATGGGGGCTGAAAGATTAGCGGAAGTTGCCTGAAACTCGTAAAGATCTATGGGAAACTCGCAAAGAACTTTGGGAAACTCGCAAAGATCTATGGGAAACTCGCCTGTATTTGGGCATCGTCTGGTCCTCCCGGTTCTGCGCAGTGGATTATCTCCCATGATGCATTGCGTCAAACACACGTGTGTGGGTCTCACACCGGGTCTCACGCACGTGCACAGAGGGGCTCGGCCGCGCTCTGACCAATCAGAGCAGTTCATCAGAGCGGGAGTTAGAGCGAGAGCCAGACGAGCAGAGTTTGTGGCACTAAAGTGTGGATTTAAACAAAACCGAAGGATTTAAGAAGAAAAAAAGTTCAGGACGACAAGTGACACTAAAATCCCCACAAAATACTATCTTTATTAAAGCTGTAGGTTCTCTGTCAGCTGAGGTTGAGCTGTTTTAATATGCATTGAGTTCTAAGGGGAAAATTTCTGGGTAGCCCACGTGAATTTAGTCTGGTTCAGTCTGCAGTACCGCGAGAATCCCCTGAGCACATGAGTTATTCAGCTACAAGCTAGTAATACCCTATCCAGTTAATATAATACATCCATGGGTGAGACGCACACACACATATACATATCTGCACTCTCACACACACATATACAGTGCCTTGCGAAAGTATTCGGCCCCCTTGAACCTTTCAACATTTCGCCACATTTCAGGCTTCAAACATAAAGATATAATAATTAAATTTTTTGTCAAGAATCAACAACAAGTGGGACACAATCGTGAAGTGGAACGAAATTTATTGGATAATTTAAAAGTGGGGCGTGCAATATTATTCGGCCCCCTTGCGCTAATACTTTGTAGCGCCACCTTTTGCTGAAATTACAGCTGCAAGTCGCTTGGGGTATGTCTCTATCAGTTTTGCACATCGGGAGACTGGAATTCTTGCCCATTCTTCCTTGCAAAACAGCCTGAGCTCAGTGAGGTTGGATGGAGAGCGTTTGTGAACAGCAGTCTTCAGCTCTTTCCACAGATTCTCGATTGGATTCAGGTCTGGACTTTGACTTCTGGACCATTCTAACACCTGGATACGTCTATTTGTGAACCATTCCATTGTAGATTGGGCTTTATGCTTTGGATCATTGTCCTGTTGGAAGATAAATCTCCGTCCCAGTCTCAGGTCTTTTGCAGACTCCAACAGGTTTTCTTCCAGAATGGTCCTGTATTTGGCTCCATCCATCTTCCCATACATTTTAGCCATCTTCCCTGTCCCTGCTGAAGAAAAGCAGGCCCAAAGCATGATGCTGCCACCCCCATGTTTGACAGTGGGGATGGTGTGTTCAGGGAGATGAGCTGTGTTGCTTTTACGCCAAACATATCGTTTTGCATTGTGGCCAAAAAGTTCGATTTTGGTTTCATCTGACCAGAGCACCTTCTTCCACATGTTTGGTGTGTCTCCCAGGTGGCTTGTGGCAAACTTTAAACAAGACTTTTTATGGCTATCTTTGAGAAATGGCTTTCTTCTTGCCACTCTTCCATAAAGGCCAGATTTGTGCAGTGCACGACTGATTGTTGTCCTATGGACAGACTCTCCCACCTCAGCTGTAGTTATCTGCAGTTCATCCAGAGTGATCATGGGCCTCTTGGCTGCATCTCTGATCAGTCTTCTCCTTGTTTGAGATGAAAGTTTGGAGGGACGGCCGGGTCTTGGTAGATTTGCAGTGGTCTGATACTCCTTCCATTTCAGTATAATTGCTTGCACAGTGCTGCTTGAGATGTTTAAAGCTTGGGAAATCTTTTTGTATCCAAATCCGGCTTTAAACTTCTCCACAACAGTATCTCGGACCTGCCTGGTGTGTTCCGTTGTCTTCATGGTTCTCTCTGCGCTTTAAACAGAACCCTGAGACTATCAAAGAGCAGGTGCATTTATACGGAGACTTGATTACACACATGTGCATTCTATTTATCATCATCAGTCATTTAGGACAACATTGGATCATTCAAAGATCCTCACTGAACTTCTGGAGTGAGTTTGCTGCACTGAAAGTAAAGGGGCCGAATAATATTGCACGCCCCACTTTTCAGTTTTTTATTTGTTAAAAAAGTTTAAATCATCCAATAAATTTTGTTCCACTTCACGATTGTGTCCCACTTGTTGTTTATTCATGACAAAAAATTTAAATTGTATATCTTTATGTTTGAAGCCTGAAATGTGGCGAAATGTTGAAAGGTTCAAGGGGGCCGAATACTTTCACGAACACTGTACATATCTACACTCTCACACACACACACATATACATATCTGCATTCTCACACACACACATATACATATCTGCATTCTCACACACACACACATACATATCTGCATTCTCACACACACACACACACATATACATATCTGCACTCTCACACACACACACACACATATACATATCTGCACTCTCACACACACACACACATATACATATCTGCACTCTCACACACACATATACATATCTGCACTCACACACACACACACACATATACATATCTGCACTCTCACACACACATATACATATCTGCACTCTCACACACACACACACACATATACATATCTGCACTCTCTCACACACACACACACACATATACATATCTGCACTCTCACACACACACACACACATATACATATCTGCACTCTCACACACACACACACACATATACATATCTGCACTCTCACACACACATATACATATCTGCACTCTCACACACACACACACATATATACATATCTGCACTCTCACACACACACACACACATATACATATCTGCACTCTCACACACACACACACACACACACATATACATATCTGCACTCTCACACACACATATACATATCTGCACTCTCACACACACACACATATATGCACTCTCACACACACATATACATATCTGCACTCTCACACACACACACATATACATATCTGCACTCTCACACACAAATACACACACAAACGTATACACATCTGTACTCACACACACGCAACAGTAACAGTTTGGGCAAGATGATCTATCAAATGGAGTTTGTGTGTGTGTGCGTGTGTGTGTGTGTGCGTGTGTGTGTGTGTGTGTGTGTGTGTGTGCGTGTGTGTATGTGTGCGTGTGTGTGTGTGTGTGTGTGTGTGCGTGTGTGTGTGTGTGCGTGTGTGTGTGTGTGTGTGTGCGTGTGTGTGTGTGAACTACAGTGACACTTTACATCATGTTCAGTGACTCATTCACCAAAGAAAAGTTGTTCTTTCACACAATTACACAGCACTTTTACCTTGTTATGGAAACTATGGAACTGTGTGTTTGAGTCCATGCTTGAACATTCATAACACGTGGAAGCAGTTGTGTATTTTCTTGTAATCACATGGGGAATAAACTGTTAATCTTTCACAAACCGTTTTTTTACATTTAGTTTGACTATAATAGAAAAAGGTTAGGGTTGATTTAAAAACCTTAAACTGTCATTGTCGCAGGAGCAGACTTTTATTCATGCTATGTGTTTTTAATGTTGAAAAATTGTTTGGTAACGTTTTAACCTGGAGTCTAGAATAAGTGAGAACCCAGTGGTCAGCAGGCTGAAGGAGGTGTTTAATCTACACTGAGCAGAACCCTGGTCCATGGTTCAAACTGTGTGGTGTTTCTGGAGGAGGTCACAGCACAGGTCAGAGCGGAAGAATTTGGAGGTTCTCCTCAATCCCCATCAAATCAAAATTGTTTTCGCTAAACGCATTTCGTTCACTTCTATTTAAAAAACAGCTCTCAACCATTGCCAAGTGCTCATGCTTTTAAACTTTAACTTGTAATATTGTTGCCTTTAGTTTTTTTGGATTATGTAAATGTTTTGTATTTTCACTGTTTGTTTTTTGTAGTATTATTTTATTGTTTTATTGTTGTTCTGTTAAGTGCCCGTGACGTGTGCGAAGGTTAAATAAATAAAAAATCCTCCATGTTAGAGGCTGAGGCTGAAGATCTTGGGACAGAAACTTTCATCTCCCTCGCTGAAGGACAACCCTTTAAGTTGGTGGTGGTCCGCTCACACTCTGGTTAGGTCTGTTCTAGGGTCGGTTCTAAGGTCTGTTCTAGGGTCGGTTCTAGGGTCTGTTCTAGGGTCTGTTCTAGGGTCTGTTCTAGGCTCTGTTCTAGGGTCTGTTCTAGGGTCTGTTCTAGGGTCTGTTCTAGGCTCTGTTCTAGGCTCTGTTCTAGGGTCTGTTCTAGGCTCTGTTCTAGGGTCTGTTCTAGGCTCTGTTCTAGGGTCTGTTCTAGGCTCTGTTCTAGGGTCTGTTCTAGGGTCTGTTCTAGGGTCTGTTCTAGGGTCTGTTCTAGGGTCTGTTCTAGGCTCTGTTCTAGGGTCTGTTCTAGGCTCTGTTCTAGGGTCTGTTCTAGGGTCTGTTCTAGGCTCTGTTCTAGGCTCTGTTCTAGGGTCGGTTCTAGGGTCTGTTCGAGGGTCTGTTCTAGGGTCCTGCAGAGGAGACTGATGTCTAACCTTGCTCTCAGAAAGATGAGAGTGGTTGTTACATACTTTCTCTCCTTAACGCTGCACTAACTGACTTTATTTTTGTATTCATTACGAAAATTAATTCCATATCTGTGCAATGCATTGGGTTTTACGTCCTTTTGAAGAAAAAGTAGCGCAGATTTGTGCTGGCGTGTCATTTAATTTTGGATTGAGTTTTGGTGAAACAAGGAAGAGAACTTGTTTTGGGTCCCGATGGTGACCAATCACAACGGACCTCTGGGGGGGGCGAAAGCGCCGTGCGGGGAGGGCGAGCAGAGAGAGCGCGCTCAGCGTTCTGATTCGAAAGTTTCTCAAAGTCAGTTAGTGCAGCTTTAAGTAAAACCTTCCTGGCAAAATAGTATAAAGTGTCCTTAGATAAAGGGATGGTTCCCCCACTCCAAACGTCTCCAAACGACACTGAGCCCTCACACTGTGCCTGTGTCCTTCAGGTCAGCATCTACCTGATCCAGGTGATCTTTGGGGCTGTGGACATCCCGGCCAAGCTGCTGGCCCTGGCCAGTCTCAGTGTTCTGGGGAGAAGGATTACCCAGGCCTCCTGTCTGTTCCTGTCTGCAACCGTCATCTTCATCAACATCCTGGTTCCCACAGGTGAGGACAGTCCACAGGTGAGGACAGTCCACAGGTGAAGACAGTCCACAGGTGAGGACTGTCCACAGGTGAAGACAGTCCACAAGTGAGGACTGTCCACAGGTGAGGACTGTCCACAGGTGAAGACAGTCCACAGGTGAGGACTGTCCACAGGTGAAGACAGTCCACAGGTGAAGACAGTCCACAGGTGAGGACTGTCCACAGGTGAGGACTGTCCACAGGTGAGGACTGTCCACAGGTGAGGACAGTCCACAGGTGAAGACAGTCCACAGGTGAGGACTGTCCACAGGTGAAGACAGTCCACAAGTGAGGACTGTCCACAGGTGAGGACTGTCCACAGGTGAAGACAGTCCACAGGTGAGGACTGTCCACAGGTGAAGACAGTCCACAGGTGAAGACAGTCCACAGGTGAGGACTGTCCACAGGTGAGGACTGTCCACAGGTGAGGACTGTCCACAGGTGAGGACAGTCCACAGGTGAGGACAGTCCACAGGTGAGGACTGTCCACAGGTGAAGACAGTCCACAGGTGAGGACTGTCCACAGGTGAGGACTGTCCACAGGTGAAGACAGTCCACAGGTGAGGACTGTCCACAGGTGAAGACAGTCCACAGGTGAAGACAGTCCACAGGTGAGGACTGTCCACAGGTGAGGACTGTCCACAGGTGAGGACTGTCCACAGGTGAAGACAGTCCACAGGTGAGGACTGTCCACAGGTGAAGACAGTCCACAGGTGAGGACTGTCCACAGGTGAAGACAGTCCACAGGTGAGGACTGTCCACAGGTGAAGACAGTCCACAGGTGAAGACAGTCCACAGGTGAGGACTGTCCACAGGTGAAGACAGTCCACAGGTGAGGACTGTCCACAGGTGAAGACAGTCCACAGGTGAAGACAGTCCACAGGTGAGGACTGTCCACAGGTGAGGACTGTCCACAGGTGAGGACTGTCCACAGGTGAGGACAGTCCACAGGTGAGGACAGTCCACAGGTGAGGACTGTCCACAGGTGAGGACAGTCCACAGGTGAGGACAGTCCACAGGTGAGGACTGTCCACAGGGGAGGACAGTCCACAGGTGAGTACTGTCCACAGGTGAAGACAGTCCACAAGTGAGGACTGTCCACAGGTGAGGACAGTCCACAGGCATGTGTTGTTAGGGTGAGTGGGCTCGCCTCCCACAGACCTGACCCGTCCTCCTGTTTCAGAGATGCAGACGTTGAGGACGACTCTGGCCTGTTTGGGGAAAGGCTTCACCTCAGCCTCCTTCACCACAGTCTATCTGTACACAGGAGAGCTGTACCCCACTGTCATCAGGTCCTCTATCACTGACACACACAATTATACTAACAACACACACATGCACTCACAAACACACACACAGACACACAACTGACTCTGACCCCTGACCTCCACAGGCAGACAGGGATGGGGCTGGTGTCCACTATGGCCCGTGTGGGCAGTATGGCCGCTCCAGCTGTGCTCATCCTGGACGAGGTAACGATGTGAGGCCCTCTAGGTTCTGTGTTGGGCCTTCTGTTTCTGTGTGTCTTTAAGAAAGAAGCAGAATTTATGTCTATTAGGTATCTGTGTGTATGTGGCATCTTTGTGTCTGCATGTGGCATCTGTGTGTCTGTATATATGTCCGTAAGTGGTATCTTTGTTTTTTATGTTTCTGCAAGTAGCACCTGTGTGTCTGTCTGTCTGTATGTGGCATCTATATGTCTGCAAGTGGCATCTGTGTATGTATGTGGCCTGTGTGTGACTGCATATGGTCTTCCTGCAGGTCTTCCCATCCCTGCCCAGCCTGGTCTATGGAGGGGCCGCAATCATAGCCAGTGCATTCGCCTGTTTTCTCCCGGAGACGCTGAATATGCATCTGCCAGAGACCATCGAGGACGTGGAGGACAAGTGGTGCGGCCCCACACTGCTACACTACACACAGCGATTCTCAATCTGGGGACCGCAGTGTCATCTACTGCTCCCCCAAGAAAAATAACATTGTGTTTTGTTCAATTAAATTTTAGGAAGATACTTTGGTCACACCATCAAAATTGGTTGGAAAAAAATAACCAATCAGGTCACACTTTAGATTAGCCCTCACTAATTGAATTGTTAATTAGCTAACCCTAACGCTAACCCTAACCCACATGGGAAAGTCATAATCATAATACTTAATACTTAGCATAACACATAACGTTACTCATTCTATTATAGCAAACATGTACAAATAACAACAGTCTTTAGAAAAATACCAAACCTTTTCATTAGTCCATTAGTTTTCCCATAATGCTCTGCAAACGGTCTCACACACTTTCTGCGTAAAAAAGTTTTTGTGTTGAGGTGTGACATGTTCTTTAATAATAAAAATAAAGCTATGGTTTTTAGACACTTTTTCTGGACGCTCAAAGACGCTTCACATGTCTTAATTCATTATCATCGCTGTGTTTGGAGTGAAAATACTACTGTAGCCACAGCTGTCCTGGGCACACTGACAGAAATGAGGCAACCAGTGTGTACCATCAGTCCCTCCAAACACCACCAAACATTCACACACACCAGACTCATTCTAATGTTGGTGAAGTGTCTTGCCTAAGGACACAACCACAGTTTGGCACTTTACAGCCGCAGCTGCTGCACTGTGGCATCCAACTTCTGGCCGTTCCCAAGGTCTCCCATCCCAGTACTAACCAGGCCCTGCCCTGCTTAGCTTCAGAAGTCTTGACAGGATGATGATCAGTCTTGGTTTAACAACAAACTCAAAACCTTAGAGTCTTATGGTCTGCACCAAACGTCACCAAGCTTAAGTCGCACTAATGAATGTTTTGTTTGTCTCAGGTCTGGCAGAAGCCCCGCCCACAAAGATGGCGAACAGAATGACATCAAACAGGAAGTGGGCGTAGCTAAGGAGCTGCTACCTTTAAAGGAGATGAAGGAAGTGGACAGGGCGGGACTTAACGCCCTCTGACGTCACGCGTTGGAATTATTATCCTCAATATCAATAAAGGGCCAATATGTACCGTACTTTCTGGACTGTAAGGTGCACCTGTATTTAAGCCGCAGGTTTTCATGTTTAATGTAGCAGAGAGATGACTGTTGTAACTGGACACAAGCTTCACCGTTAGCATCCATGACTCATTCATTATTAGCTTCCATGACTCGTTTACCGTTAGCTTACATGACTCATTCACCGTTAGCTTACATGACTCATTCACCGTTAGCTTCCTTGATTCATTCACTGTTAGCTTCCATGACACATTCACCGTTAGCTTCCATGACACATTCACCGTTAGCTTACATGACTCATTCACCGTTAGCTTACATGACTCATTCACCGTTAGCTTCCTTGATTCATTCACCGTTAGCTTCCATGACACATTCACCGTTAGCTTACATGACTCATTCACCGTTAGCTTCCTTGATTCATTCACCGTTAGCTTCCATGACTCATTCACCGTTAGCTTACATGACTCATTCACCGTTAGCTTACATGACTCATTCACCGTTAGCTTACATGACTCATTCACCGTTAGCTTCCTTGATTCATTCACCGTTAGCTTACATGACTCATTCACCGTTAGCTTACATGACTCATTCACCGTTAGCTTACATGACTCATTCACCGTTAGCTTCCTTGATTCATTCACCGTTAGCTTCCATGACACATTCACCGTTAGCTTCCATGATTCATTCACCGTTAGCTTCCATGACACATTCACCGTTAGCTTACATGACTCATTCACCGTTAGCTTCCTTGATTCATTCACCGTTAGCTTACATGACTCATTCACCGTTAGCTTACATGACTCATTCACCGTTAGCTTACATGACTCATTCACCGTTAGCTTCCTTGATTCATTCACCGTTAGCTTCCATGACACATTCATCGTTAGCTTCCTTGATTCATTCACCGTTAGCTTCCTTGATTCATTCACCGTTAGCTTACATGACTCATTCACCGTTAGCTTACATGACTCATTCACCGTTAGCTTACATGACTCATTCACCGTTAGCTTCCATGACACATTCACCGTTAGCTTCCATGACTCATTCACCGTTAGCTTCCATGACACATTCACCGTTAGCTTACATGACTCATTCACCGTTAGCTTCCATGACACATTCACCGTTAGCTTCCATGACTCATTCACCGTTAGCTTCCATGATTCATTCACCGTTAGCTTCCATGACTCATTCACCGTTAGCTTCCATGACTCATTCACTGTTAGCTTCCATGACACATTCACCGTTAGCTTCCATGACACATTCACCGTTAGCTTCCATGACTCATTCACCGTTAGCTTCCATGATTCATTCACCGTTAGCTTCCATGACTCATTCACCGTTAGCTTCCATGACTCATTCACCGTTAGCTTCCATGACTCATTCACCGTTAGCTTCCATGACACATTCACCGTTAGCTTACATGACTCATTCACCGTTAGCTTCCATGATTCATTCACCGTTAGCTTCCATGACTCATTCACCGTTAGCTTCCATGACTCATTCACCGTTAGCTTCCATGACTCATTCACCGTTAGCTTCCATGACTCATTCACCGTTAGCTTCCATGACTCATTCACCGTTAGCTTCCATGACTCATTCACTGTTAGCTTCCATGATTCATTCACTGTTAGCTTCCTTGACACATTCACCGTTAGCTTCCATGACACATTCACCGTTAGCTTCCATGACTCATTCACTGTTAGCTTCCGTGACTCATTCACTGTTAGCTTCCATGACACATTCACCGTTAGCTTCCATGACACATTCACCGTTAGCTTACATGACTCATTCACCGTTAGCTTCCTTGACACATTCACCGTTAGCTTCCATGACTCATTCACCGTTAGCTTCCATGACTCATTCACTGTTAGCTTCCTTGACACATTCACCGTTAGCTTCCATGACACATTCACCGTTAGCTTACATGACTCATTCACCGTTAGCTTCCTTGATTCATTCACCGTTAGCTTCCATGACACATTCACCGTTAGCTTCCATGATTCATTCACCGTTAGCTTCCATGACACATTCACCGTTAGCTTACATGACTCATTCACCGTTAGCTTCCTTGATTCATTCACCGTTAGCTTACATGACTCATTCACCGTTAGCTTACATGACTCATTCACCGTTAGCTTACATGACTCATTCACCGTTAGCTTCCTTGATTCATTCACCGTTAGCTTCCATGACACATTCACCGTTAGCTTCCATGACACATTCACCGTTAGCTTCCATGACACATTCACCGTTAGCTTCCATGACACATTCACCGTTAGCTTCCATGACACATTCACCGTTAGCTTACATGACTCATTCACCGTTAGCTTCCTTGATTCATTCACCGTTAGCTTACATGACTCATTCACCGTTAGCTTACATGACACATTCACCGTTAGCTTCCATGACTCATTCACCGTTAGCTTCCATGATTCATTCACCGTTAGCTTCCATGACTCATTCACCGTTAGCTTCCATGACTCATTCACTGTTAGCTTCCATGACACATTCACCGTTAGCTTCCATGATTCATTCACCGTTAGCTTCCATGATTCATTCACCGTTAGCTTCCATGACACATTCACCGTTAGCTTCCGTGACTCATTCACCGTTAGCTTCCATGACTCATTCACCGTTAGCTTCCATGACTCATTCACCGTTAGCTTCCATGACTCATTCACCGTTAGCTTCCGTGACTCATTCACCGTTAGCTTCCATGACACATTCACCGTTAGCTTCCATGACACATTCACCGTTAGCTTCCATGACTCATTCACTGTTAGCTTCCATGACTCATTCACTGTTAGCTTCCATGACACATTCACCGTTAGCTTCCATGACTCATTCACCGTTAGCTTCCATGACACATTCACCGTTAGCTTACATGACTCATTCACTGTTAGCTTCCTTGACACATTCACTGTTAGCTTCCATGACACATTCACCGTTAGCTTCCATGACTCATTCACCGTTAGCTTCCATGACACATTCACCGTTAGCTTCCATGACTCATTCACCGTTAGCTTCCATGACTCATTCATCGTTAGCTTCCATGACACATTCACCGTTAGCTTCCATGACACATTCACCGTTAGCTTCCATGACACATTCACCGTTAGCTTACATGACTCATTCACTGTTAGCTTCCATGACACATTCACCGTTAGCTTCCATGACTCATTCACCGTTAGCTTCCATGACTCATTCACCGTTAGCTTCCATGACTCATTCACCGTTAGCTTACATGACTCATTCACCGTTAGCTTCCATGACTCATTCACCGTTAGCTTCCATGACTCATTCACCGTTAGCTTCCATGACACATTCACCGTTAGCTTCCGTGATTCATTCACCGTTAGCTTCCATGACTCATTCACCGTTAGCTTCCATGACTCATTCACCGTTAGCTTCCATGACTCATTCACCGTTAGCTTCCATGACTCATTCACCGTTAGCTTACATGACTCATTCACCGTTAGCTTCCATGACTCATTCACCGTTAGCTTCCATGACTCATTCACCGTTAGCTTACATGACTCATTCACTGTTAGCTTCCGTGACTCATTCACCGTTAGCTTCCATGACACATTCACCGTTAGCTTCCGTGACTCATTCACCGTTAGCTTCCATGACACATTCACCGTTAGCTTCCATGACTCATTCACTGTTAGCTTCCGTGACTCATTCACTGTTAGCTTCCTTGACACATTCACCGTTAGCTTCCATGACACATTCACCGTTAGCTTCCATGACACATTCACCGTTAGCTTCCATGACTCATTCACCGTTAGCTTCCATGACTCATTCACCGTTAGCTTCCTTGACACATTCACCGTTAGCTTCCATGACTCATTCACTGTTAGCTTCCATGACTCATTCACTGTTAGCTTCCATGACACATTCACCGTTAGCTTCCATGACTCATTCACCGTTAGCTTCCATGACACATTCACCGTTAGCTTACATGACTCATTCACTGTTAGCTTCCATGACACATTCACCGTTAGCTTCCATGACTCATTCACTGTTAGCTTCCATGACTCATTCACTGTTAGCTTCCATGACACATTCACCGTTAGCTTCCATGACACATTCACCGTTAGCTTACATGACTCATTCACTGTTAGCTTCCATGACTCATTCACCGTTAGCTTCCATGACACATTCACCGTTAGCTTCCATGACTCATTCACCGTTAGCTTCCATGACACATTCACCGTTAGCTTCCGTGACTCATTCACCGTTAGCTTCCATGAGTCATTCACCGTTAGCTTCCATGACTCATTCACCGTTAGCTTCCATGATTCATTCACCGTTAGCTTCCATGACACATTCACCGTTAGCTTCCGTGACTCATTCACCGTTAGCTTCCATGACTCATTCACTGTTAGCTTCCTTGACTCATTCACCGTTAGCTTCCGTGACTCATTCACCGTTAGCTTACATGACTCATTCACCGTTAGCTTCCATGACTCATTCACCGTTAGCTTCCATGACTCATTCACCGTTAGCTTCCATGACTCATTCACCGTTAGCTTCCATGACACATTCACCGTTAGCTTCCATGACTCATTCACCGTTAGCTTCCATGACTCATTCACCGTTAGCTTCCATGACTCATTCACCGTTAGCTTCCATGACTCATTCACCGTTAGCTTCCGTGACTCATTCACCGTTAGCTTCCATGACACATTCACCGTTAGCTTCCATGACACATTCACCGTTAGCTTCCATGACTCATTCACTGTTAGCTTCCATGACTCATTCACTGTTAGCTTCCATGACACATTCACCGTTAGCTTCCATGACTCATTCACCGTTAGCTTCCATGACACATTCACCGTTAGCTTACATGACTCATTCACTGTTAGCTTCCTTGACACATTCACTGTTAGCTTCCATGACACATTCACCGTTAGCTTCCATGACTCATTCACCGTTAGCTTCCATGACTCATTCACC